TTCGTTGAAGTTCAAACCAGTTATCTTTACCATAGATTGCAATCCGATTTCATGGGCTCGGTGACAATTAATTTGGTCATTTCCAACGATTCCTGAAGCTAAGGATACCAACTGATTCGTATTTGGAAAGGGATTATGAAGCGTAAACCAACCAACCAGTTCATTTACATCAGTATCATCCCTTTTTATTCGTGAATCTCTAGCATCAACATGTTGGTCCACAGAATCTAAAGAAATGTTACAAAACCGTTCAATTTCTTCACAAATTGTATTCGTGGCATACATAGCATATACCCACTTACATAGAACACTTTCTTGTGTACTTCGGCCTCGAGATACTCCTCCTTCTGTCTTCATAGATTTCATCAGACTTTGCTCGATTACCATGTCTGTCCATGTACCAGAATTGAATTTTTCTGTTCGTTTTACAGTAAAGAATCCGTTTTTAAAGTTCTCAAAAGCCTGTTGATCCATTGTCTCCTCAAGTTTTAACATATCTTGAAGATACAAATGAGCTGATTTCGCATATAGGAAATGACCACCAGCATGAAAATAGGGCAGCATTTTTCGCACTGCATCCAAATGTTCTTGAAAAAGTCCCAGCCTTTCAGCGCGAATGAAATCTAGGGCTATTGATACCATTTCAAAATATTGCACCCATAACTGTGCCGTGGGACCTCGAGCTTTTAATTCTTTTAGTTTATCCTGAAATTGATCAATTAACGAGTTGGAGCTGCTCGTACATCCTTCAACATCTTCGTAGGAAACATCGCGACTAGTTATCTGTTCAATTAACTCATCTAACACACAATTTTCAATTTTCATCTCTTCAAAAATCTTTATTGATAATGCAAGTCGTAATAATATATGGCCTCTGATACTTCTTGCATAAGCGTGACCATTCAACATTTTGTCGACCGAATTTGTAGCATATATTTTACTTAAAGCTTCTTTGAGACCACTACCGTCCATTACATGTCCTATGCATCCAAGAAAAGACATGAGCATATGAAATCCTCCAAGTTTGACAACTGTTTTAGACAAGTCTGAGTTTGCATCTGACGCAGCAACCATTTCACGTGCTTTTGAGTACAGGGGCTGATCAAATGTAATTATGCACGTTTTTTGTTGATGTGACTTGGCAATATTTATAGCACTATGTAAAGTTGTATAAATTGTGTCTAAATTACTGGCAGGATGATCAATGAAAGGTAGAAATATAACCTGAGAAGTTGAAAAATTTTGATTATTTTTCGTAAGTTGTTGAAGATAGCCATTCCACCCTGGCAACGGTGAAAGATTCTTCCATTTTCCGTATAACCACAACAAATCAACTGCATTAAATTTTTTTTCAATCAGTACTTGATCATCATGTAGATTTTGGACTTGAATCTTGCTGTACCCAGGTACAACTGGCTTTTCATATGCTAAAAGAGATACATGTGATATTGCTGCTAACTCTTTTGCACTCGGTTTAGTTGTACATTTTTTTATGCGATCATCATAAATTACAGCATCTTTCGGAGTAATTATTTTTATCATTCCCATAACGTGAAGAGTATTATTACCGTCAAGAGTACTGACATTAATATCTGCATTGTCTCCAACATATTGTACCAACGCACCAGACTCTGATGGTAAAATACGAGGTTGTGGATGGTAAACTGATGAAACTTCATACTGTATGGTATTACTATATGATGCAGCAAATCCTAAAGATGATAAAACATCTAACAATTTTTTAGACCCATATCTTCTGTGAAGAAATACGGAAAGGCCCAACAGTAGCTGTGATGAAAATGAACGTTCTCGTATCGAAGCCATTATTGCGTGGCTACTATTAGCCACGCAATAATGGCTTATCTATATGTGCATTTCGTTTTTAAATGATCTACTTGTCCTTTTCTATTTTTTAATATCATTTCTTCCAAAAAATGTGATAATGTTTTTGGTATTTCTTCATTAATACAATCTAGCATTTTATTCGGAGGTGGATACGTTTTTGTTTCAACTACAGATGATCTGATGTCTTCCCTAATAATAGCCGCAGCAGCTTCTACAATCCGTAGACGTTCTTCTACAGGAGTACTTTTTTTATTTTCGTACCAAGCTTTTGATAATACGTTAAGCTGTGTATCACGGAAAGATATAATTGTAAATGATCCAATTTTTTTGTGATTATTATATCAGTAAAATACTTTTGTTGTAATTTTGTAATAATTGTCTTATCGTCAGGTATGTATTCCGTAGGGGCATTTTTAAGTTCTTTCAAAGTAAATTGAGAATCTTCATTATTTTCTATATAATAAAAAATCTCCTTCATTGCTTGAGTGACTTGATCATCTTGGCGAGGCTTTTTATCTGCAGATGGTACTCGGGTTAAAAAGTTGGTATAGCAAATAGTATGATACTTTGCTTCAGCAGCGATCAAATCATACTCGTAATATATACGTTCCTTTACTAATTCTCCTAAGGAATCGTTTCGTTCTTCTGCTCTCTTAATTACGTTGTCTTTGAATGCAAGAGTACTTACATTACTTATTGTCCGTCTATACTTTAATTTTTTTTTCTTTTCTGCTATTTCATCAGCTTCTTGGCCACAAAATAAGCATAACTTTCCAAAATCAAAGACTTCATTTCGTTTTTTACGAGGTGCACTTGACGTTGAAGGTTCACTCTCATCTGTGCGTCGTTTTGATGCAATAATAACATTTTTACTCGTGTACACTTTTCGACACTCGGAATGCACATTTACAGAACTTAAAGTATTTAAATAGTCTATATGTCCATCATTTCTTTCAATACTTGCAGTTTTTAAAGTTTGTAAACCACGTACGACATTCACAGAAACACCTTCTGAAAGTTTCTTATCACATATAAAACACAAATCAGCCATAGCTCTTAAAACCGTACGTCCGTAGTTGCAACGGTACAATTTCAAACTAACGAATAATCTTGACTCATACAAAGTGGAGAGAGTGGCCTTGAATACTATAGAACATCTGTCCCGGCAATGAATAGAAAAGGGCATAGGGTAGGGACAAGTATTTCCAGGTATATAAGTATTGAGAAATTTACGCGTTTTAAAGAAAAGATATATAATGTCGTGTTAATTTAAAATAAAACTAAAATATATAATCCAGAATTAATAATATTTTATACTTAAATAGTTAAATATGAATAATTATATATAAATAATCAAGTTACTTACTTTAATTAAATATAAATAATTAATAGTTAGTACATAAATAATAGGCATTGTTTAATAATTATAATTTCCAAGTAAATAATTGACTTTATAACGTACTGATAACCACGCTTGACCTTGCATTAGGCCGTATATGACTGTACGATGTGCACTTCGCGCTCTACCTTCAAAACGGTTGGTCGTATGAAAAAAAAGTTTAAACAAAAGTTGTAGGGAATTTTATAGCCTACAACTTTTATAATAAATGCAAATCTCATTTAACCGATAGGAAGCCAGATATTCGCGAAAAACCGATTTTTGTGACCTTTGACCTTGAATATCTTAAGACGCGGACACGATAACGATTGTTACTTTTGAGACAACATTTAGAATGACAAAACAAAGGTTCATACCAATTTGCAGCTTATTATCTTTCATTCCGAGGTTGACCCCTTTTTTTACCTAATATGACTGGGCTAATGGTAGAGAATATGATCTGTAGTTGTTGGGTTAATACCATGGTCTAATTGTTGCTTTTCTAGCAATTCGATTCATTGATTATAGTATTGTGCGGCTTTCGCATTGGGAGTACCTATCAACCATTTCAAAATCGTACCAAGCCTATCTATTAATTCGCGTTTGACGCGATTATGGTTATTCGTATAGTAGCTGAGTTCGTTCAATCTAGTATCTATTTTATCTAAACTGACTTTGGTGAAGGATTTCGTTGTATAAATGCTAAGGGTAATATATTTACTAGAGTTTATGACGGTTTCGTAATTGGCAATCAATCGTTTCAAGGAATCATGTGAGAGAAAAGTGGTTCTAAATTTCTGAATATGACTAGGTTCCAGGAGCTTTCTGATATACAAAGTAGTTCGTTTATAGCCATAAGTGTACTTCCATCATTGTGGAGTACCTGGAAGGGATAAGAAATTTGACTTAGTGCTTATGCATTCTTATTGATATTTTTAAAGAATTTGTATAAAAGTATGTATAATATAAATTTGAGTATAGATAAAATTGTAATGTTCGGTGGTCAGAAGGGGTCTTCAGAAACAAACAGTAGCGTGACGTTGATAGATTATTTATCACACGACAGTTAACTATAACATTAAATTATAACTTTCTTACTTGCTATACTGTAGCTGACTCGGAGGTCCGAAGGAACTCAAAGAACTCACTAACATTATGGGTGGAGGACATTATAAACCAATACAACTGTACAACACATTTGGGAAAGTAAACAAACAGTCTCTGGACTCTACACTCATTATCAATTACTGGTAATTTGATAATTCTAAATGTTGTTTATATAACATTAAAGTACAATTGATTGAAAATATGTAAACATTACAAAATGATAAAACTAAAATAAGGGTTATTCATGTTTTAGAAAATTTATCGTTTAAAAGTTGTGGTTCGTAAGATGTGCGATTTTGTAGAACAGGGCCATCACCAAATGATGTTGTGACCTGAAAGATATTATTATTTTAATTATATATAAAAATATTTTTTTTGAATCTAAAACTATTTAATATTCATTAGAACTAGGTATCAAGTTGATTATTGCAATCTTGTAAAGGTCCTAAGCGATTGTCGTGAACTAATTGGTTTCTATCTGACTTCCTTATAATATAATTTTCGTTAAATCCTTTTCTTGAAATTTCATAAGATCTTCCCATTTACTGTCTAGATTATATGGATTTGGGACGGGGAGAATGACTTTATAGCCTAATTGAAAATCAGATATTTTTCTGATATTATTGTCATAGCGTGCTTAAGCTCATCTTATGTGGTCAAGATTTCTTTAAGCTATGTCACGAGAAATCTTAAGGCGTTCGTTAAGGTCATTGAGGTAGTCGTTTGTTGTGAATTCGCGTGAGTCTTTAAGGGTATAAAGCAAACGAGGTTTGTAACCGAATAGGAGTTCATGAGGAGTGAAGCCTGTGGACTGATTAAGTGAGGTATTATGGCACATTATTGCGAGTGGTACGACCAATTGTGTGACTTTTTTGTTGAGTAAGTGATCTCTGAGTACTGCATGGAATCTTTCTAATGCACCGTTAGTTTGTGGGTAATATGCTGAGCTGCTCGCTTCGCTGGTCGCTTCGGAGTTTAAATTATTGATACGGGATGCTGGTGAAGGAGCTGGTAAGGCACGCTGTTTCAGAGTGCGCATTTGTGTTTGTGGAGTCGGTAGCGCTCTTTGTATCCCAGGTTGGTAATTTCGAATACTCTATTGTAAGCTCTTTTCCGACATTCCGAAATGTTCGGGCCTTTTGTAATAATTGCATATTATGAGGTGTGTGTGTGAGATATTAGGTTTAGTGTAATTTATATGTCGCTTGGTTTAGTTGGTTTATGGTTAAATAAAAATTGCCTTGAGGCATTTATTGACCAAATCTTGTCTTTTTCTATAGCGAAACGTCCTGCTTCGGTAACACTTTGGAAACCACGCGTCCTAAGCATTGTTCCTTATTCGCTAGATAGACCGTTTATGAAGACGCTTTAGGCGGTCTCTTCCGTACTTGCTATGCGGCCTGGTAAGGTACCATTATTAATTTCGGTGCTCAACTTTTCTATTATTTTACTCCTACAAAGGTCTACCCTATTATAATAATCTGTTAGGCTTTCTCCGTGTTTTTGAAACACGGATTGAAGTTCTAAATTTAGGTCTGATATAGTTTGAACATTTGAAAAAAAATGTTTGCCTACATTGTATATCTAACTGTTGAGGGCATAGACGAGAAGTATTTGTAGTTTTTCAACGTCTGCCGTTAGTTGAAACGCTGAATGACATGATCTGACAAATCGGTAAACTTCTTGTGTTTTAGAGGTGTGGAGCGTGGGGATGAGTTTAATTAAGGTGTTCCTATCGGAGACATGTTTGAATTGTGTGTGGTGAATTTCGTGATTGAGAAATTGAACAAGGTTCGTGTTTCATGGATTTGAACAAGTTTAAATTGAAAAATACACAAAATATACAAAAATATGATATGCGGAAGGGTATGAGCAGACAAAAGCCACTTACCACAATAACGTCAAAAACAGGATCATCGCAGGTCCGGGGAACACTTTCAAAAGCCTACAGCTACCGTGTTATATGCTTGATATACACGTTTATGTTCGTCTTTTTGCGAGTTCATCCTACCGACTGCGCCAAAATTGTTATGTGGCGAGAGCAAAATAAGTCTATTTAAAAACTAATTTATTTATTAACACTAAATTAACAAGATTTTAATATAAAGATATTGAATCCTTAGAAATGGTAATTAACTTATACAAAATAAAAGTAAACTAAAATAGTGGATAACATTAGTGGATTTTTAAATTTCAATAATAGTAAGTCTCTTTGTCCTTTTTCTTGATGAAATAGATTTTGTGTAATATAAAATACACTTAAATTCCTATGGTGACCTATAGTGAATATATCAACAATTCTTCCATCGGATTGTCTCATAAGGTCCATAAACCATTATAAGATTGGGCTCTTTACCATCAAACATATTGAGATCTGGAATACCCTGATAATAATTAACGTTTTGTAAATTATACAATGGTTGCATTTCATCAAAGCACTATGTTATTTGTTTTAAAGTAATTTTGCAAATATAACTAGTATATTTAATAAAATTTGTAATAAAATTTGATTTTCCACAACCACTTGGTCCAGCAACTATTGCAGTAAAAGGATGAACATAGTGAAACATTCTGATACGTGTAGCCTCTGAGAGGTTTGGTGAATATTAAAAGACTTTTAAACGTTGGTACATATTAAGGTAGCATTCGGTTCAAGACGACCGCGACGCGAGACCGCGACTCGAGACACCCGGTCAACAACCGGCAACCGGTCGCAGGTCGCAGGACGACAGCTACCTACGAATCTACGCGACACGAGTCGTGCGACCCATACGAAACTCAGTATGCTTGCAGTTACTAAACTAAACGGTTGTATTCCATCACGACGCGTTTTAACTATGAACAGAAAAAGATTTATTCGACAGTTATTAGAAGACGAAGAAGAAGAAGACGATGATATGCTTCTTTTATTATGTGCTCTAATTCCGAAAAAAAGGATGAAAATCGATACATTGTTTACGTCGCGAGAAGAAGAGGGCTGCTTTCAGACACTCATAAAACGACATTTAAATTATAAAGAAAAAAAGTTCAGAAAGTATTGTAGGCTAAATCATAGTCAGTTTAATTTTGTACTCAGTTTAATCAATCAAGATATTCAACCAAGAAGAAATGGCTCATCAATCATCACAAGCGCTCAGAAACTTTTCCTTACATTGAGGTAAAAAAATAATTGTTATCATATTCTGTAGATTCTTCTAATTGGAGATGATTATTTGCATCGTGAGCAACCTGATTCAGTAATGGGATGCTTAAATCAGTTGGTTGGGCAGGTGGAGACGCAATACTGCTGATAGGGGAATATGGGCTCAGGTTTGATGCTGAACTATGTGTAATATTCGAAATTGAATAGTTTTCATTTGAATGTGGGCTGTAGGAAGCGCTGCTGAGACTTGAACTTTTATTAATACTTCTCAATTCATATTCTGCCAGTAAATTAAAAACTTTCGTTTTAGCCTCCACTCTTAAACCCGGTGGTAATTTTTTTAAAATAGTCCCGATATGTGAGCAAAATGAATTGATTCCGTCTTTATCAGCTTTCTCTTCCTCTTCTGCCATGATCTTCATTTGTTCTTGTCTTTGTTTATCTCTTTCTTTCCAATGCTGCAGTAAAGATGAAATATGTAAATTACTATCCAGTTGACATGTTTTCTTTTTTTTTCTCCCACTTGTCTCAGCTGTACCTTTACCTGGTCCGCTTGCCTCTTCATTGCTCGTTACTCCACTTCTCTCTGCATTACGTTTTGTTCCACTTGTACCAGCTGCACTTATTCCTGCTCTTTTTACCTCTTCATTGCTTCTTTCTTCACCACTTATCTCTTCACTACGTCTTCTTTGTTCACTTATCCCTGTTGTACTTGTTTCTTCACCACTTTCGCTACCTTCAGTATTTTCAGCTTCAACTGTTGCTACACTCGCTCTTTCTGTGGGAATTTTTTCTAAAAAACGAAGTCTCTCATACAGCATCCATTTTGTTGTTTTTAAAGAGGCTGAAGAACCCGTGGGCAATTTGTTCTTACGTTTGCATCTATTATAGGAATCTCTTATATATTTCCACCTCTTCTTGCAATCATTACCTGTAATGAACATAATGTTGTTTCAGATTTATAGCTACTGGAGAAACATATGCATCTCTAGAGTTCACGTATCGTATATCGGCAAGTTATATTAGCAGAATAGTGAAAGAAGTGCTTGCAAGCCTGCGAAAGAACTTGGTCCCACTTTGCATGCCAGTACCGACAGAAAATCATCTAAAGCAAGTGACGAGTGATTTTTGGAATCGATGGAATTTTCCCAATACTTTTGGAGCCATTGATGGAAAACACGTGCGTGTTAAAGCTCCAAATAACAGTGGTTCGCTGTTTTTTAACTACAAGGAGTATTATTCGATCGTACTTCTGGCGATTGTAGATGCCAACTACAAATTCATTGCTGTTGACGTGGGTTCTTATGGTAAAGAAGGAGACAGTGGTATTTTTCAAAAGTCATGCATAGGGAAAAATATTGCTCGTAATAAGTTTAATGCTCCGAAGCCCGCAAATTTACCAGGAACAGATATTATGCTTCCACATTTTCTGGTCGGTGATGAAGCGTTTGCCCTTGATACATATATGATGAAGCCATATTGTAGAAATGATGCGAGAGCGAATCGTGATAAAGCTATCTTCAATTATAGACTTTGCCGTGCCAGAAGAGTGACAGAAAACTCGTTTGCATTGTTATCACAAGTATTTAGAATATTCTACACACCGATATCAATCAGACCTGAGGTTGTTGATGACTTGATTTTGACCGCGTGCTGTTTACATAATCTTTTGCGGGATGCTTATTTAGAAAAAAAACGGCATTCCTTATTACAAATATGATCCAAAAATCCCCCCACCTACGGAAAACATGATACCATTCTCAAGAGTTGGTGGTTTTGCTAGTCTGGCGGCATTTGATATACGAAATTCATTGAAATCATTTTTTTTAAGTCCAGTTGGCCAAGTATCATGGCAGGAAAATCGTATAAATAGAATAGAATAGCGTCCCATGGAAGTAATCCCAGAACAGTTTTATAACCTCAAAAAATAGAGAAAAGTAAAATAGTACCTATTTGTAAACAATAAAAATAAGTACCTTTTCTAATAAAAATATGTATCATTTGAACTTACTTGTTTTATTCAACGCTTTTCCAATTTCTTCCCAAATATTGTCTCTCACAGTATTATCTTTATAAGCTTGAAGCCTCGTATCGAATAAAGGTGCGTTTTTACTAACTAATTCTATTAAAATTTCGTCTTCGTGCGAAGAAAACACGGCCATTTTGCATCTGTCGCGCCACGGCACTGCCTTGTGAGCGACCGAGTCGCGCGACGCAAGTCGCCGGCAGGCCACGCCCACACGTCGCGCGACTCGGTTGCTTGCATCCGTCAGCACTTCCTATTAATTCATATAAAGCAGTGGGTCGCGGTCGCCGGTCGCGGTCTCGAGTCGCGGTCTCGCGTCGCGGTCGTCTTGATCCGAATGCTACCTTTATATATTCATCTCAAATATATGTACAGTTACACTAATATTAAAAATAATATACTTGTTCTTAAACTTAAGCTTAACTTATGGTAAAATTATATCTAAAGTAATTTTATTGTATTGACAAAAACATAAAATATCTTATTTACAAAAATTTAAAAGTCGTTTATTTATAGTTCTGATAAAATTTATAATATAAAATAAATTACTTTTACAAAAGCATGGTGTCACAAACACATTTATTTACATGTTATGCTTATTACATTCTTGCAATTTATAATGACCCCACGCGAGCGTGTTAACATTATTAGGTAAAATAAATCGCTTGGTGTCCATTGTAAGATAACGATATTTTGTTAATACGTACTTTTGGTTTCGGAGTGTTTTTAAAACTATTTATACTAACTTAAAATTAATTTGGGAAAAAAATAAAACTAAATGTGAGACATGTAGCCGATTTGAGGCTCCTTTAATGTCTGATTACATACTCGGCCGGCGGATGCCGGGTGGGCCGAACAGACGCTGAGTTTGCGTCTCTCTTATTCTATGAAAATCTTAATCTAGAGCGGATGGACGAGGTGTAACCATAACACCTCCATCCCTAAGAGGAAAATTATCGGAGGGATCGATTTAAGATTCTTTCCGATAAGTTTGCTTAAATGATAAACATATTGGCGATTTTAGCCAAATTATACAAAATATTAAGAAGAAAAGACTTAAAATTATTAACACAAATGTTACGTAACCTAAGATTTCACTGAATTTATTGTCCTTCTTATTATTTAAAGCACTTTCAATTACCGCACTATGTTTTAACGAAAAGGCCATATATTTCACTTTATCTAAACTAATTCCTTTCATGTTGAGTACACTTGCGCTAGATAGGGTCATATCCGTTCTGAATTAGGGTAGTGTAATAATTGGAATCTTCTTAATGACATTTGATTCTATTAAAGTTCTATGGTGGAAGCGAACTCCATGAATTTCAGGTCACAGGGTTCATCGATAGTCATCAGGTAAGTGCCAAATAGAAATTGCTTACTGACCTCAGGGCCGCGTTGCTTGGTCAGTGTTTTGTACTGTAGAGGAGGCAGCCATCTGAATGGACTTGCTAAATCTTAACTTCTTCGATTTGGACCTGATGCTGCTTATGGGAGTCAGGTCGTCAGGAGCTGTTCTATACAGGTAGTTTCATAATATAAAGCTCGATTGTCTGCAATGCATAGGAATTGATTGCTGGTCGACAATGAACGACATGATTTACAAGTGGTAAGAACTTTAATTATTTCGCCAAAGGGTAAGGATATTTACGAATAATGGCTAGAGTTTTGTTTTCAGGTTCATGAAAAATTGCTAATGAATATATCTTAAAATAATTATATAAGTTGAGTTATCTGTAATTGGTATTTCCAGTATAAATGTTATCTGATTGTCTTTAATATATGATTTTATTCAAATGCTTTCCTCTATTTTTTTAACAAATTTGTTTCTGTTGGTGGATATAATATATACCAAGCTTGAGGAATTAAAAATTAAATTTAAATGATATAAACGATTATGAAAGTGAACAGAGTTCTAGTTAATTGTTTCAGTTACATTAATGAAACTATCAAACATTTTAGAGACTATTGTCAGTTTCTTTGAAATATTTGGTTATGATTTAAATTAGGGATAAGTCCGTCGTACTTAACCGCGTCATCGTTATCCAGATTACCAGTTATTATTTTCATTACACTATATTTTCCGGGAGGTTATATAAAAACACGTTTAGAGCTGTATTACTTTTACTATATTCTATAGATAACTGAATTCGCAAGTTTTAAATCTGAATTATAAATGGAAATCACCTTCGACATTAATAGTGACCGAACACCTTATATGATATTAGAAAAAATTAAGAAAAGTTTCACCTGGATTGATTTAAAAAAAATCTAATTCGATATTAATGCACTCTTCACTGCGAGGGTCTCCAAAATGTTGGATTAACAAGGCTTTTAATGTGGACCATGTAACAATGTCCTCTCGTTCAGACAAGAGCGCAGCTGCATCATCTCTTAAATAAAGATTTAGCTGTCTTTTATCACCACTGTACAGAGGAATTGTATATATTATTTCTTTTAGTATTGATGATACGGTTGTGGTTGCCATAATGATAGAGTAATGAAATGATTAGAGGATGCAACTGGCTTTAAATATGAACTTTAAATAATAAGAAACTTTTACAAAAAATCATACAATTAAAAATTAGTATAAAATTAAAATTTTATAATAAAACACACACACACACAATAAAAACAATTTAAAAGAACTAAAATTTAAAAAATTAAAAGAAATTTTGTTAAAGTAAAATTTCTAAAAGTTATAAAATAATATTGTAAAATCATTTAAGTATTTATTAATTTCCTTTAAATTTAAACTTATTATTATATATTTAATTATGTAACAATTTAATACATTTATGTAATTTCTTTAAATCAATTCAATATTTAATTTTATTAAACGAAGTCTCTATGTTCATAAGTACTCTATATTCCTATTCTAAGAATAAAGATAAGACCGAAAAATTTCATACGGAGATATCACCTTAACAACAAAGTTATAATGAGCAAGGTTTGATCTCAAAAATAACAATTACTTATAATTAACATGAAAAATACGGGACGATTAGCGGAACAAGGATTGGCGAAAAGTTTGACTCACTACATGACTGCTACTCCCATATTTTTTTTTTTTTGGTTTTCTCTGCTTCTCGCGACACAAAAGAATATTTATTTGGTTCGACGGATCTCTACGACTACCGAGTCTATAAGAAAATCCGCCCCGGCTGCGCCACTTTTGGTTTCGGAGCGTTTTGAAAACTATTTATACTAACTTAAAATTAATTTGGGAAAAAAATAAAACTAAATGTGAGACATGTAGCCGATTTGAGGCTCCTTTAATGTCTGATTACATACTCGGCCGGCGGATGCCGGGTGGGCCGAACAGACGCTGAGTTTGCGTCTCTCTTATTCTATGAAAATCTTAATCTAGAGCGGATGGACGAGGTGTAACCATAACTACGTTGTGTAAAAATGGTATGTTTGATCGATCTAAATATATTGTTATACTGAGTGTTTTTATTTATAAGACAAGACTTGTGGTTTTCCATTGACATTGCTCGAGTGACATTTTTATTAACACCTTTAGCTTTTGTAATTAGTTTGGTTTTTGTTTTTATAGCATACATTTTTGATCTCAACTCTACGAACTCTGTAACTATTTCATCATTATTTTCATCTTCAAAACATCCGTTTTTTTTCTTACTTAATTGAGAATAACCATGAATGTTATTTTCAGGATAGCTGGATGTGTCAAACAGTTATAATATATCAGGTTTAATGTCTTCATAATCAAAATGAAAATAATACATAAGAATTTTTGATTTCTAAAATGGAGAAGCCTAAGTAGATAGGTTTATCATAACAAACTTTAGCTTTATGCAGCTGTACTGCTACCAATGACTCTGAAAACACTGAAATACTTATATGTTTTGCTATGAGATCTTGAACACCTAAAGATTTACCGCGATTTTTCTAGTAGCTAAGTCATTTAAATTTAACATTTACTCTTTTATCAACATTCTCCATCGTTTTACCAAAAACTGAATTATCTTTCTCTCTTTTCTCTTTTGAGGAGTGGTCCCTAACATTTTTCTTTTGGAGAATTAATCACTACATTTTCTGTAGTATCTTCATCAGAGAACAAAGGTTGATAGTAACATTGTTTAAAAGTATTTACCTCAAATGAGTTCTAAAACAATTTTTCTACATTTAATTTAATACCCATAACCCACAGTTAACAGTAAGACTATAAGAAAAATCAATATTATACATATATACTAACCGATATCGCTGTTTAAGGATTTACGACGCAAGTTATATCGAATATTCCCTGTTCACTACTTTCTTGAATATGAGCTTCCGACATCATGTTTTCTTTATATAAGACTAGTTTATCTCTCTGTTCAACTTCAAACTAGTTACACTAATGGTAATTGTTGTCAAACAAGATACCCTTCTGATAATTGTTATCAAGCAAGTTATCCTATTGGTAATTGTTATTAAATATTGCTTCATACCAAGAATAGCATAGAAATGATTGTATACTCTTATCATTGCTAAACATAGTTAGTTATCTGTTTATACAAAGGTAAAAAAAAATTAAACATTTAATGACTGCTTCGAATGATTTAAAGCTAAAAGTATGCATTTCGGGTGCAACTCTGATTGTCCGTAGAGCTCGAATTAATCCAACTGTTTTACTCGCACATCAAAAGGTTTTAGCCTCTACTACAGCTAAATATCCCATTACTCGAGCAGAAGGAAAAGTTTTAACGATACCGTCAGGTGTTCAGGGGTAAACACTAGATAATATATTTCTGGGACAAGTAACTAAAAGATGAATCATTGGGTTTGTGAATAACGCGGAATACAGTGGTAGTCTTACTAAAAATCCCTTTATTTTGAAAATTATTATATGAGTTCATTTTGTTTGTACATTGATGGACAACAAGTGTTTAAGCAGTTTGATAATGTTATTGCAATAGATAAAAACCGCAATGTGATCGTAGATTATAATAGTTTTGTTTGGATGTTAAATAAAATATTTTTTTACGTGTAAGAAATAAATCATCAATAAACCAAGTGTTGTATTAATTGAAACCTACTTTATAATATAAGGCATAAGCATAATAACTACACTCGTGAGCAAAAAAATCGACTCAGACGACACATCTGTAGTCGCAAGTCACTGGAAAAAAAAACTGAAAGCAAAAATATTTTTTTCGTAGCTTTTCGTATCTTAAAGCTGCTAGTATTAGCTTCAAAATGATATAAAATATTGTAAGGTTTATTGCTCACACAACCCAACAATATGTTGTGATCAGTAACCACCCTTTTTACGCTTGTTTACAATAGTGCTAATTAAGGGTTACTGACCCATATAAAAGGTTATCTACCTGACCCACCTTTATCAGTTAGCTGTCAAACGTCAACCGATACACATCTCCGTAATCAACAATCAAGAATTCTACCTGAAAATGGACACAACAAGCGATTTAGCAGCTCAAGCGATCACCCTATTGCGACAAGGCCAGAGTCAGCGTGAAGTGGCACGTGCACTGAACATGAGCCAGTCTGCTGTTTCCAGATTTTACCGTCGTTACCAGGAGACTGGTGGCTTGAATCGAAGACGCGGTTCCGGTAGAAAAAGGTGCACATCAGAGAGAGATGAACACTAAATATTAAAAAAATAATTTTAATTAAATTATTGTTTTGACGAATTTTACGTGGTATTTTCTTTACCGTCAACCATCACTTTTTTTATTGCTTAAGACTCCATCTCATTCAATATTTTTTCTTTACCAGAAAACATTTTTTAATAACAACATAGACCACTCATTTTAAAGCTAAAACAAAGAACTTTGAGATGTTAAAATCGGAAATATAATAAAAGCTTCCGATTTTTTGCTAGAGCTTTTTAACCGCAAGCGTGCGTCCTGAGTCGATTTTTTTGCTCACGAGAGTAATTGGACTTTCGCATTCTTGACGTAGTAACACAAGTTTAGTTTTGACACCATAACAGAAATTATGAATACACTAGAGATACAAGAATGTCTCCATAAGATTCGCCCATCTTTAAAACATAATGTATATGCACCAATAAGTTACCTATTCATACAGAAGCGTCTTGTGTTTTTAGTAAGCAATTTGGATGTTGATCCACAACCAGCGTCCCACTGGGTAGCCATACACATCGATAATAATAAAGTTGGACAGTACTTTCATCAAAGGTGGACATGGAGATCTTCCGATGGAAATACAAAAAATGAACTAGACTATATTCTTACCAACATAAATAAAAACGTTCAAAATGTAGAAGTACTAAATATTCCATATCCGTCAGATCATAGATGCGTATGGGCAACTTTTAGTTTAAAATGTATTTAAAAAGGAAGAAACAACTACTCAAAATGCAAAAAATATATCCGAAACTCGCTAGATTTTACTTACCAGAAAAAAGGTTACCATTCTATCAGAAGTAAGATTCAGTCTTCGATCAAAAAGGGATTTTGAAAAAAAAGCAGGTCAATTTTTTTTATATTTGCATTGCAGCGCAAAGAGAATCTGCCCGCCATCCAACCTGAAGAAGAAATTTCAGAATACATAAATTATAAATTCCTAGTTCCATCAACGTCAGCAAATAGTTTAATTACTAAGAAAACAGGAGTTTTACTTGAAGAAACTAAACCATGTAATGCAAAAAAGAAGATACAATATAAAAGTGACGACAGTAGCGAACAAGATGACAATTATTCCTTGAGACATACTTCTGAAGATGAATGCTTTATACCATCTGAATCAGAATCTAATGAAGATAACGAAGAGTCTGTGTGAGAAATAAAAGAAAAGTGTGAAATTTCGCCCATTCGGGTTAATAGTTACGTTTTAGTTAAATTTTGTGGGCCAAACGAACAAATACTATGTTGGAAAAGTTTTGGATTAACGATGATTCTGGCATGTATATTAAATGTATGAGGAGAAAACAGGATGAATTTTATTGGCCGCATGTCGATGACATTAGCTTTGTAATAAAAAGTGACATCGAAATAGTTTTAGGAATCCTTTGTGAGGGTCGTAAAGGTATTTTAAAATTTGACTTTATTGACTTTTCTAAGTATAATATTCAATAGAGTGGTTCATAGATTACCTAGTTTTAGTGTTTAAAAATTATATAAGCTATGTTTCACAACTTGTTGATCACTTGTGCTGTTGATCGATTCAAAATTTAAAGAAATTAATTTCATTTGAAATTATTGTTATGTTGATATTACAAAAAAACTATACTCGCCTACATTTCAATATGATTTATGCTTCGATCAACAATACTACTAGATATCGTGTCGGCGTAAGAAATCCGTCTCGGTAAATATAAGCTTACTTGTAAAGTGAGCGTATATATATCAATTAGTTCTACTGGAAAAAATTGTTAAAAAATTGTTAAAAAAATACAACTACATTACTATACTTTTGGCGGAAAACTCTAAACAAATGTCACACACACTGATTCAGGGAGCGTAGAGCCCAGTATTTTTGATATTTTGTCCATGAATTTATCAGAACGACAACATAATAAAGCAAAACCAGCTTATAGCGAGAATTTACTCGTAGTTGTGAGATGGTTATAGTTATAGACGTTTAATAGGCCTAATGAGCATTTTGGCATAGAACATTGTAAATCTATATTAAAGAGATTTTTTATGAATAAGACTGTTAGTTTCTCCCGCACCATGATTGCTGTAAAGCATTCGAAACGACGGGAACCAAAAAAAACAGATATTTCCAGTGTCTATTCAAGAAACAGTGAAGATGGGTCAGAAAACTATTAAAGAAAAGGTCTTAAGTCCAAAAAAAGATTTATCCGACCATTTTGATGTTTAAACAATATAAAGAATTACAGACATTAATAATGAGAAAAGCAATAGCAATACTGCTTATTCTTTTAAGTTTGCTCTCTTGGATTTCTTTAACTCATGGGCGAGTCTCAGAAGACTATGCCATAGACTATGACGGAGGCACAGATGATCTATCATTTGAACCAAACCTCCTCCCAGGGCAGCCCAGGATTGGACACATGAACAACGCTCAGGTCAATCAACCTCGGTCTTTATCAATGCCCACATGTCCCCCTTGCGGTCCAGCTTTCAGAAGAAGATCAAATCTCTTCCCTGGGGGTGTCGCATCGCAACACATATATGGGAATAATGCTAGAGTATCCCAGTCTAACGTATATCAAGAAGATCCTCAAAAGTGCAAATCTCCTATTCCTCCTCCGGTTGAGGGTCATGATCTAAATCGTTTGGGTAGGTCTAGATATAAGAGAGAATCCGCTTCGGGTAATGCTCCAAAAAGCACTAAAGGCATAAAAGCTGGAAAATCAAAAAAGCGTCACACCACCACAGACGCGATCATAGTCAAAAGGGCAATCAGCACCACTCCTGATACCACAACAGTTTCTTCGTTGAATCTGCATGAGTTTCCATCCTCTCTTCCTGAAATAGGGAGAGAGTCAGCTACTATAATCCCGTCAGCAGGGGTGGTTATAGAGCAATCTGGAGCTTATATGGAATTCTCTGGGTATGTTTATGTCCCTATTCTCTACCATATGCCTCAATTATTATTGCTGAGTAACAATCTTATGGAAGATGGTTGTAACATCACAGAATTCATAAACTACCAAAAGGCTATTATGGAGATCCTCGAAAACAAGATCGGGTCTTTAATCCCACAGCATAGAACCCGACGGACAAAACGCTTTTTGGCGTTGGTTGCTCTCGGAGGAGCGGTGGCCTGGAACCGGGCATCCATTGCATCTCTTGAGACATCAGTTGAAGCTCTAACCCAGCAATTGACAGCAGTCCGAGACCAACGCCTCTTAGTAACTGAGAGTATTAATATGCTTTCTACTAATTTTCTATCTAAATTACCGGAGGTCGTAAAATATTTAAATAATATCGCTCACCTAGCAGTATAATGGCACATTTACAAAAAAAGCAAAATTGAGTTTTTACGGCCTAAGTGTTTAACACGTTAGCTGCGGCACCAATTTTTGCATACTTTCCGTTCCTGCGGCACGAGGTATAATCGGTCCGTACCGTGACCAGACGTTAGGGCGACACGCGGTCTATTAGACCCCACCTCCTTTTACAGACTAAAATCCATTTTCTGGCGCGAAATCAAAGATAAATGAGAATTTTGGTCCTTATTGATATAGACAGTGAATTGATGAACCCTAATCCACCGTCGCCCCGGGATCTGATGGCTAGTTTGGGAATTATTAGCAAAACAAAATATGGGATCTTATACACCTCGTAACGCACTGAAATAGGGCAAATTTTCGCTGCGATTAGTGATGGGAAAAATAATATCGACGTTTTTAAACTGTCTTAACTACGCAACGACTTGACCGATTTTGATCAATTATATCTCATTAGATCGTTTTAAGGGCAAAACCTGGCAAAACAACACAAAGCTATCAAAGGATACATTTTTTTTTAAATAATCTAAATTGTGCTTGAAGGCGCCATAAAGAAAAAAAAACCGGCCAAGTGCGAGTCGGACTCGCGCACGAAGCGTTCCATTCTATACCATTAAGAGGCACCTATTACAGACTTATTATTGGAAAATAATGGATTACGGTTTATGCATAAGGTTTATCTTTCTATTTGTATAGAAAATCTTAATGCGGTTCACAGAATAGAAAAAAAAGGCAACCAGAAGTAGAAAAGAAACTGTCCTATTTATTCTGCCTCGGGCTTTAAAAATACAATTATTAGAACTTGAATTAACATTAAAAAATCAGTATCAATATACTTTTTTTATAAAAATCTCAATATATATGTTGTACTTATTTATGAGTGTTTTTCATTGAAACAGGGTAGACAATAAGATTTTTTGCACTGAGTGCACTGAGTCAAAATCTTTTTGGATTTTTTATCAGCTTCACGAGATGGTAAAAATGTGCGTAGTTTTTGGTAACAACCAACACATCTTCTCCTTTTTTCACCTTTTTCGAGGCAATGGCGTGCGCTTTCAGGTGCTGAAAAATAACAAAAATGTAAAGATAACGTAATAAAACTGACATTGTTACTTAGGTTAGATCGTAGATGAGAATAACAATGATAATGTAGGTATAACTGCATCAAATGAATGTGTTTGTTTTATACTTAAAATGTTGAAAGAGTAGGTAGGTAAGGTAGCTTAAATTCAGAATAATTAAAAGGAAACAATAATAAATAACTTAATAATGACCAAATGTCAAGCTTAGTTTATGAAAGCTTCAACACGTTGACTGTCAAGAAATATATCTAAGCATTACATTACTTGGGGTCTCATCGATTTCCTTTTTTATTAAAGATTCTATAAGTTTGTCCACAAAGAGTCTTTTTGGTAACTTTTTTCCATCAGTTTGGATTGAATTAAACACAATCCAGGCATTAATTAGCGCCGTACCAAATATTAGCTCCATTACAACTTTTCTCCACCATTTGATTCCTCTCTTCAAAGTTGTATAATAAGAAGACATCTGGTCAGAAAAGTCAATGCCTTTTTTTGTTTTATTGTACAGCAAAACACATCCCGGTTTTTTTATGCATTCGTCGGTTCCTCTCTTCTTTTTTCCAGTATCTATCAGGTTATCATCGTGATCTTTGCACGTAGTCAACATCAAAACATTCCGTTTATCCATCCATTTCATTACCTTTACGCCCTTTTTGTTCATTTTTCCAATAATTTCGCCTTTCTGCAATTTGTAACTAGTAACTTGCTTTGGCAGATATTTCCGTATTTTATTAAGTGTTCCACATAAAAATGTTTTTTGTGATAGAAGATCTTCTGCCAGGCCCAACGAAGTGTAGTAATTGTCTACTATTACGATTCTACCCATTTCTGTCAGATTTGTCATCAATCTTAACACTACTTTTTTACTGTGTTCTAATTCTTTTTTCTGATTTTTTTCCCTGTATAAACCTCTAACTCAGAAGTATAACCTTCGGGAGTGCAAAGCTTATAAAGCTTTACGCCGTACCGGTGTGATTTGTTTTTTATGTATTGGCGAAAACCTAGTCTTCCTCTCCATGGTATCATGGTTTCATCGATTACCACATACTTTCCAGGATTTGCAATACGTCGAAAGTTTTCTGTAATCTTTGTGAACATATTTCTAATTTTATATAGTTTGTCAGTTTGGTCTTCATTACTTACATCACTGACACATGCCAGCATTTAAGTAGCAATAAAAATCTGTCTCTTGTCATTACTGAAGAAATAAATTCGTTTCGATACAATTTGTTTCTGCTCCAGTATAAATTTAAATTAGGAACTCTACACAAACCCATTGCCATTAAAACAGCCAAAAATGTTCTCATTTCCTGAGAACTGGTGTCACTCCATTTTGTCATGCGTGAATTACGTTTCATATTTTGTTGATTTATTTGTATATACTTTTGTGCGTAAGCATTTGTTTCAGATACCATTATATCAATAATCTCATCTGTAACAAGCATCTTGTATATATCTTCAGGTGTAACTCCCACAAACGGGGGTAAATTAAACGTACATTCTCCAGCGAATTCATTAAAAGTTATTCGACTTTCCGATATATTTTCCCACTCATCGTGATCTTTAGCTTGCGTGCCGGGTAATGTTTCGTCCGTGACTAAAATGTCATCTTCTGTAGCTTCTTCATATTCACTATCTGGAGATAAATCCTGATCTGAATGAACGCAATTTTCCATTGAAGCATACTCTTCCGAATCACTACACTCTTCCTCCGAAGGACTATAATCATTGTCAGTACCGCTAAAATTATCATCTTCCATATTATTACTCTCATCCAACTCAGGTGATTTTCGAATATTCTGCACACTGTGACATATTTTGTTTGTTTGTATTATATTATTGTTTTCGCAGTCTATATGTTGAATAATATCATATTCGACAATATCAGGTGATTTTAGAACAGTTGGCAATTTGTTATTCATGTCTCGTTTTCCTTTAACATTGTCATCAGGAATACTTTCTATAATTACAGAGACCTCATGACTTTTTTTGGATTTGGACGGATTAAAGTCTTCTGAATATGTACATTCGGATGTAACATTTTCTCTCGGTCTTTTTTGTGTCGGAGTACGAAGTAATTGTTGAATGTTGTCCTCACTAAGTGATATATTACAATCCAGTAAATTGGAGCGTGAGATTTCTGACAAAGATCCAGCTCTGCTCTCCGTAGTTATAAAACATATTCACAGTACCTTCGCAAATAGCATCTATTTCCTGAACATTTATATTATCAGAAGTATTGCTGTTCAAAGGAGATATTGAAACTTCCGCTAAATCTTTACTGGTCGAAGCTATAGGTTCAATTATATCGACTGTCATTGATGATGCTGTTTCCCCTATAAAAATATTTGATTATAAGCGATGTATAGACAGCACGATGTATTAATTATAACAAGATGTAATAAATACAACCTTTGTTAAATTTTAATATTAAAAATGAAATGATAATAAAAAAATATTTAGGATACATACCGCTTTTATTTAAGTCAGGATTGGTTTTAAAAAAAGGTGCTGCAGTCAAACCTTTTTTTCCTCATTGTACCAATCGCTCCATTCGGTTCGCCATTATTACAATAAGTAGCTATATCAAACTTCTTATTCAGGTCGGCCCACTTTAAAACTACTACTTAGGGCTTCTAACGCCTTTTTAACATTTATAATGATTAGTTAGACCGAGTCTTAGAGTAGGCCAACCTGCCTTCTAACCCATACATAAAAACACTAATCAAACTCACGACATAAGTACCAATAACATTTACGTAATCTAATTGAAACGGCACATCTGTCAAATAAGTCGTTGTTTTACCATTGCTTAATGATAATAGTGGCCATATATGACTTACAAGCATAGTTACCAGTGCCAATCGGCAACTCATCAGCGTTTTACTACAAATCCAAATTGAATTGCTACAATTTTACTGTAAGCCGGCTATTAGTATCGTATTTAACTCTTGAATGTTTAATATTACCTACTATAAATAATATTAACTTTATTTCAGATAATAAATATTAAAACGGATTCAACTACTTGTTACTTTTGGCATGAGGGCTTGGGTTCTAAAGGTTCTACAGAAATAGGAACTTGCGTCTACAAGTTTCTAGAGAAAGTTGCTGAAGAGCATCCAAATTCTGATGTTATTTTCTACAGTGATAATTGTTGTGGCCAACAAAAAAATCGGTACGTATCAAATTTTTTACGGTGAATATTTTGATATAATTATTAACTTTATTAAAATTTCTAATGAATACGTTTTTATTTTTAGATTGTGTTCAGCATGTATTATTATGCTGTCGAAAATTTAGCTATAAATTCTGTGTGCCATAAGTTTTTAATCAGCGGCCATAGTCAAAATGAAGGTGATAATGCCCATTCTCTGATTGAAAAATCAATAAAAAGGGCTAAAAAGTCTGGACCCATCTACGTTCCAGATCAATATGTTAATTTGATACGAGATGCTAAAAAAAGAGGAAACCCTTTCATTGTTCATGAGATGCATTTCAGTAACTTTTATAACTTGAAAACACTGACTGAAGAGCAAGCCATTAATTACCAGAAAGACACTAATAGGGATATAATAAAACTGACTGAGTTAACAATGATTAAATTTACTAAAAATAGTGACTTCTATGAATTTAAAACATCTTTTGAAGGAGAATGGGTCCAGGCTAAGCTTAAATTGGTACGACGAAAAAGAAAGCAACCATCACAAATTAATTTAAAAGCAGCTTATGATTCAAAAATGAATATTTCTGATTCAAAGAAAAACGATTTGTTACAATTACTTCGTTCTAACATGTATAAGAAATACCTACCTTTTCTTATTAATTATATTCATACTCTTATTATATTCATTCTTATTAAGTAGATAATGAAAGAAGATACCTGGTTTAAATCTTCGTAATTAAGTATACCTACGTAACTATTCGCCAAGGATCTTTGTCTCTCTGTAGTTAGCTGTGAGTTAGATTTGCGTATGGAATACTCGCGTTTAAAAGCTTTACGTAGGTATTTAAACAGAGTTCAAAAAGGCGAAGTTATGCATCACACGCTTTACAAGAGTGAGTTTTTCATGCGCAAATTCATCCAGCTTTTAACTTCACACAGAAAAAAGTTCGTGTCGAATAGTAAAGGTCAAAATCATGAACTTACTGTGCAAGTTCCTAATATGCTTATAGTTTTGTTTACTGCTTAGTCAATTAATAAAGATACTTAAAGGTAAAGTAAACTTCCTTAAAATTTCGGAATGATAAGGTAAAACTTGATTTGAATCATTGGATTTCATTATCGTACCTTTATCTAAACTTAAACTGCCAAGCTTTTAAGTGCTTTTGTTTTTAGAACGGAGAGTAACTATCTCACCATAATTTTAAAAGTGTATGATGATTACCTACTGTTGCACACTCACCACCTTTTACTATTTGTCACTTGTCACTATAGAATTAAACTGCACTCGATTTTTAACCATATTTATTAAACAAAAATAAGACTATCTTATAGTTTGAGACAGAACGAAACGATAGCGTGATGTAGAAGACAGGTAACGCCATCTATGTTTAGTGCATGCAACTAAATTAACTTAAACGATTAAACACCTACCTTTACAATTAAGAGAAGATACGTGATTATACTTTATTTTATTTGTTATAGTTTGATGATGACTATTTCTTAACGATTCACGAGCCAAATATAGGTTATTATAATATTTTAGTTAAACTTTTTAACGTATGTTGATTTCAAATAAAAACTTTTGTTTTCTATTAACCAATTGTCTTTATTTCTTGGTTTTCACATTCTGTATAATTTTAGGCTTTGGGGGCATATATGACATTTTTGGAAGTTGTTAAAAGTATAACGGCACAATTGCATGGCTCTTCTTCTTCTTTGACTGTTATGAAGTAACTCCTGGAAACCTGAAGTAGATTTTTTTATCCCTAAGTATCTATTAAGGTCTATACTAGTTGCTAAACCATTCAATGCAGAAGCGGTACAAGCTGTAAGTTTAGGGGCTTCTAAGCTTCACATATCATTTCATATAGCAGTACTTTATCATTTCGGGGAATCTGACTTTACCATAACTCTATCTTGTACAATTTCTGAAAATCTAAGGCACGATCCAGTATTGATCCAGTTATTAAAATAATCAAAGGTTTATGTCCTACCATAAATAATGCATTTTTATAGTGACGGACCATCTTCGCAATATCGAAATAAATCAATGTTTTTTCTTGATGGCTAATTTCCTTACTGTTAATTTTACCTATTGTTATTAATTTCGTCGATGATTAATTTATTTTTTGCTTACCGGGTGGACTGTTTTGTTATATTACCCTGTATTGCGTCTTTAATTGCTATTTATTTAGAAAATCGTCATAGCTGTGATTTGCTGCTTCGACTCTGTTATCACCTTTTTTTAATTGTGCATATTGAGTTACAATTCAGAGAATATATTATTAAAAATGCATTATCGGAAACTGAAAGCGATAGTGATTGCACAAGCTCTGGCATCCAAAATGCATAGAATTATAAAAAAAAATACCTTTAAGCATTAAGGCTTATGGTGTTTCTTAAGAAGCTTTTCATGTTTAACACAAATTTCGACATTTTTAACATATAAAAATAGGTGTGTTGTATAAAACTCAAAGCAATATGAACTAACTGTATAATATTCACAGATGTATAAAAAATATTTATATTACCTCTCTGAAACCACCATAATCAGCTGTCACTATGATTCACAACATCCAGAGCCATCTTTTGAAAACGGACCGAATTAATTAGTACTCATATATATAATTATAGGGAACACAAGAGAAGACTATCATAAGCGTAACTCAAGCTGGGCGTCCATGCACTAAATGGTAGGTAAAGCAGTTTCTCCCTGTCTGTGGAGAGTATAAAACACATGTTTTGAAAAAATAACTCGTTTTCTGTTGCTTTTTGTGAGTTCGGGAGCTATTATACATTTACATTGATCTGTCTATGTGACATTGAAATGTGTTATCCATTATCAGAGATATTCTCATGAGGTGGCGGATCATTTTGTAGTTGATCATCAGCGTTTTCGCGCATCAGAGTTGGCAGTAAACCTGAGAGACACTTAGTCGTGTTCTGATCGAAAGAAATTGTTATAAATTATGTATGCATTTGTTTTTATTATATCTGGAACTGAAAAGTAAAAAGTGAAGCATATACTTTTTGTTCCCATTTAGTGTGCCTCAAGCTTTTTCCTATACCAATTCGTCCTGTCTAATGTGGTTATGAATGTCGATAGATAGCCGCAGAACCGTCAAAATATATCTCTAATTTAGGTCTATCGACTTCTCTGGAAAATTGTTTTCCACTATCGTCCCATCTCCTTTTGCATGCTGGCTGGCTAGGCAGTGTCGTTTCAAAAGAGGAAATAAATGGATGATTTTTTTTGTCTGTTCATACACAGGCAATGAGCTGAACCGAGTTTTTCCGCTGTACTTACTGTAGTGTATGGCTAGAATGTTGGTTGTCTCATGCGCCTGCGTCACGAGTCAGTCGCGTCCCGGCAGATAAGCGGAGCGGTTGAGTAACGCGATTGTATGTGTGGTGTGGTGCTGGTGAGCCGTAAAGTACTCCAACAAGTAGAACATTACATGTGGCGACGAGGACAAAAGTAAGTACACAATATAACTAAAAAAAAAAGGAAAGATAGGTACAGAATAAAATGAAGTAAGCATTAACAATAAGGACATTATCCACGAGTTACCTGTATTATTATCGACCGGTAGTTTTAAAAGTTAGTTAATTGTATCAATACATTTGTATTTAAGCTTTCTAACGATTTTAGAATATTTTCCAACATTTTTCTAGTAGGTACTCAGACGGTGCGCGTGACGTCACCGAGCCGTCCGCGGCTTGGTGTGCTTGAATAGGAAATAATAATACTTGACTTATATTTTACTAATATTACAATACTATATATGTAGATAATATGTAGATAATAACAATAATGCTTACTTATTTCAAGTGTATACCTAATCATGGTTTTGGTTTAAGGTTGTTACCTTTAACATAAACCTTCACATAGTATTTGTAAAACATTTATGTACGTATATTAAAATTGAATACCTACCTAACTAGTTATTACCTATGCAGATTAAAATTAATCTGTTTCATTAAATTGATGCAAGACTTCATGTTATTAATGACATATAAGTATTTATTTACCTGAAGCAGTTACAATTGAACTGATCATTAAATTGATATTAATTGGATGAAAATAGTAGTTAATAAGTTTAACAGGTATAAACATGGAGCAGATAAAAATCTCATCATTAAATTGATATCATGGCGACAGTACTAGTGTTGACAAGCTTTGAGTGAATATAAGTTAATATATGAAACATTAAGTTAATGCATTTGTTGATTGATATAAACAACTCAATATTTCCAATATTTGGTTAATATAGCGGATAAAAGTAATCCGATCATTAAATTGATATGAGTTGGAAAATGTGTTAAATGAAAACACAATAGCAGATAATATTTATCTGAATCATTAAATTGATTATTCCAGGTCGCCCAAAGATGTCACTTCTTACATTGGAAAGGTTCGACTGTGATGGTGAATCAACCTCGGTGGGCGTACGATGGGAACGATGGAAACGAGCATTGCTTATATATTTGGAAGCGTCCAACATTGATAAAGACATAAAGAAAAGGGCCGCCCTTCTACATTTCGGGGGTTTAGATTTACAGGAAGTATTTTATAACATTCCTGGAGCTAACATCGAACCGAGTAGTGACGTGGACGTATTTGAAGTAGCAATATCTAAGCTAGATTCCTACTTCGCACCGAAACAAAGCAAAGTTTACGAGCGACATACATTCAGGCTGCTCAAACAAGAACCTGACGAAAAGTTTGAAAGGTTCCTAGTAAGACTTAGGAAACAAGCTGATAAATGTCAGTTTGCTGATCGAGACGAAAACATTATCGACCAAGTAACGGAAAAATGTTACCTGTCCGAACTGAGGAAAAAGATCCTTCAGATTGGAGATGAAATAACACTGGACCGAGTAATCACAGAAGCAAACACATTAGAAGTTGTAAATAAACAGTTAGAAGAATTTAAAAACCCTAAAAAATCTAATGAAAATGAGGAAGTAAATAAAGTGGACAGTAAAGATAAAAGGTTTTTTTATAAACCAAAGAATATACAGCATGGATGTGGTAGATGTGGTAATCCCAGACATGCTGCACATGATGTCAAATGCCCAGCAAGAGATAAAGAATGTCTAAAGTGTGGTCTCAAGGGGCATTTTAGACAATATTGCAGGACTAGACAAGCCTTGAAGAGAAAAATAGGAAAAGAATATAGTCATGAACGAAAGAAAGGTCAATTCGATAAAGAGAAGGGTGATATAAATCAAGTACGGGATTTCTCAAACAAGATGGTACAAAAAGAAGAAGAAACCGAGTACGTTTTCCACATTGATGAGGATGTTGAAATTGACTGCACCATTGGAGGAGTAGAAACTAAGATGTTGATTGACTCGGGCTGCAAGCATAATTTGATTACGGAAGCCACTTGGGAAACATTAAAGAAAAATAAAGTTAATTTGTATAATCAACATCCAAGACCTAATGTAACATTTACGGCCTATGGTAGTTCTACACCACTTAAGATAAAGGGATCATTTGAAGCTCGGATACAAATAGGATTGAGATCGGAAAACTCAACTTTCTATGTCGTTATTAATGGCACAAGAAATCTCTTGGGTAAAACTACTGCAATATCATTAGGAGTACTGAAAATAGGACTGAATGCGGAAGTTAATCAAGTATATACAGGGAAATTTCCTAAATTCAAAGATGTATTAATTCAATTACCCATTGATAATTCAATTCCACCCGTGTCGCAGCCTTACAGGTATGGATTTCATTGTTTTTAAAAATAAATAAATAATTATTTCTTATATAAATTAAAACAAATAACAATAATTGCTGATACTTCAATACATATATAATATATTAATTAAAGATGTTGATCTGATTATTTAATAAAATGTTACTTCTCAGTAGTTACTTATGATTATTTCAATTCATCATTAAAAAATAAATAAATAATTATTTCATGTATAAATTAAAACAATAACTATAATTGCTGATACTTTAATACACATATTATACAATATATTAATAAAAGATGTTGATCTGTTTATTCAATAAAATGTTACTACTTACTACTTATGATTATTTCATTTCATCATTACAAAAATAAATAAATAATTATTTCATGTATAAATTAAAATAATAACTATAATTGCTGATACTTTAATACATATATTATATATTAATTAAAGATGCTGATCTGATTATTCAATAAAGCATTATTACTCAGTTAATTACTTATGATTATTAAATTTTTAGAAGGATTCCTATACCTTTGGAAGCTAAAATTGAAAACAAAATTGAAGAACTTAAACAAAGGGATATTATAGAGCCAGTCGTAGGTTCTTCTAAATGGGTATCCCCTATGGTGCCGGTGTTGAAAGAAAATGGAGAAGTACGTCTTTGCATAGATATGCGCCGAGCAAATGAAGCCATTATACGTGAAAATCACCCATTGCCAACAATGGATAAGTTGTTAGCTAAAATGAAAAATGCAAAAGTTTTTACAAAATTGGACATAAAAGATGCCTTTCACCAAATTGAAATACATCCACTTTCGAGACATATAACTACTTTCATAACTAATAAAGGCTTATTTAGGTACAAGAGACTTATGTTTGGTATATCGTGTGCGCCAGAAATTTTTCAGAAAACATTAGAGCACATACTTTTAGGCTGTGAAGGAGTGGTAAATTACATTGATGACATTTTGATATACGGAAAGGACATGCATGAACATGATTCGCGAGTAAAAAAAGTAATGTCTGTTCTGAAAGAAAATAATGTTTTAATAAGAAATGACAAATGTTGTTTTGGAATGAGCCAAGTAAGTTTCTTACGACATGAGTTGTCAGCAAAAGGGGTAAGGCCACTGGAGAAGTACATTTCCACAATAAAAGAATTTAGAGCGCCTAAAACTACCGGAGAGCTACAAAGTTTCTTAGGACTGATTAATTTCGTTAGCAAATGGATCCCTAACTATGCCACAGTCACAGAACCTCTTAAAACACTACTACGAAATAAAAACGGGGATCGAACCGATATTACAGAACAATGGGGATCAGAACAAGAGGGATGCTTTGAGTCATTGAAGAAAATCATGACAAATATATCTAGCTTAGGGTATTACGATGTAAACGATCGTACGATGGTCATAGCAGACGCAAGCCCAGTGGGTTTGGGTGGAGTATTAGTCCAGATTAATTCTGAAGACAACCCCAGAATTATTGCATATGGTCACAAAACTCTGACTGACTGTGAACGCCGCTACTGCCAGACAGAAAAAGAGGCGTTAGCCCTTGTATGGGCAGTGGAACATTTTCATATATTCCTCTATGGTAAAAAATTTGAACTTGTAACAGACCACAAACCGTTAGAGGTTATATTTGGTACTAAATCCAAACCATGTGCTAGGATAGAGAGATGGGTTATGCGCCTACAATCGTACACCTATAAAGTACAACAATTATGAAAATAATCATGAACATAATCATGTGCGCCGGAGGCGCACGATTGTTCGATTACTGTTGTTGTATGCGTTGGATTTAATGAGAAATTTTTAAGATAAAAAATTTCAGTTATATAAAGACTTTACGGTGGAGTTTTTAGCCATTCGCTTTCAAGTATTCGGGAAGTTAACATCATTGAGTCTCTCAAAGAATTTTTGGTGTTTAAGAATACAAATGGACAACAACAATCAATATCCAAATATGTCTCAAGAAAACGACGATTGTGTTCAGATTGTGGCTTTGAACGAAGGTCAGGAGGAAATAACGGAGAATTTGATGGTACAGAATACGCAGTATGCTCTGGAAGTGGAACCTGCTCCAAAAAAAATAAACAAAGGAAAACAATTGATGTCAACGAAGAAGAAGCAAATTTCGACGATCAAGAAAAATCCTATTTATGTATGGTTAGAAAATTTGTGGCAGAGCGACATAACTCTACGCATAATGAAACCATGGCTTCAATTAGTCAACAAAAAAGCGTTAGCAACAAAGAATATGAAATTATATCAAATAGGACAAGCGATAACGAAAATAATGAAGGAATTTTTAATACACGCAAAGAATGCAAAGGTAAACTTGACGAACTGTGGCTTCGGAGTCTTCGAGGAGTGGATCTGCGAAGAAGGATTATCCACGACATATGGGAAGCTCCAAGCGATGGATTGGGACGAAGGTTTGAGCTCAATATTATTCGACCATTATTCCGAAGCAATCATGGAGTTGGAGAAACGTCAACAGGAGTCAGAGGACGAAGTGGAATATTTATCATCGGCGAACATGAAAGGCATATCCACGTCATCCACGACTGCCAATATTCAGGAAGTACATGTAGGTGCGTCCACATCCAAAGACTCAGAGATTATGTTACCGAAGATATTGAAGAAGAACAAATCTGGGATAACGAAAAACAAAGTCACATTCCAGAAGGAGAAATCACCATCGAAGAGGCTGAGGAAACTGAGCAGCGACGACGAATACGAAGTCGGTCAATTATTCCAGGAACAACAGAAAAATACTCAGGGGAGCGTAGAGGACGAGAGCGAACCGGATGTGGACATTCATCCAGAAACGCCGAAGAAAAAGAGGAAAGTGACATGGAACGACTCGGATTCGGAGAAAGAAGGAGTGGACGAAGAAGAGGATTACGCTTGTATGGTCGCAAATCTTGCTCAAGCTCATTCATTAGTACAGACTACTGGAAAAATCTCGCAATCTATCTTAGTAAAGGATGCAGACGGTTATATCAATATAACGTCGCCGGGAGAGCGTGGGTGTATGCTGGTGAAGTTAGAGCTTTACCCATTCAAAGATTGCGCCAAATTACCGAAGAATCAGTATTGGACCAAGCGCACATACAGCTCGCTAACAGTGATCTCTTCGCCAACATCCCCTGCATACGATCTAGTAATGAAACTGAGACGCCAGATGACAAAGGACGTTATGAAAATCAAAAATGTAAAGACCGAAAAGAAGGTCGTATCAGGCTGGAAAAGTGGTTAGAATCATTCATTATAACACTAATGAAAAACATTATATATACCGGACATTGGACAAACGGCCCTTATAAATATTTACCCAAAAATAAACAAATTTTAACGGTATGTTTTCACAATATTCAACAAAGAATAGTTGATATGACTTATAGAGAACTGTTTTTAAAAACAAGAGTCATTTCTATGAATAAGCTAATATATGTAGCTCCATGGAATGCTGTTTCCGATTATTATTATGACGCATATCAAAGTGTTTCTGTTTTAGAAGAACTATTGAAATTTCAATTTAACGAAAATGAAGAAAATATATATAATTTTTTAAAATCTTTATACTATCTCATTGATAAGAAGGTACCGAAAAAAAATTGTATTTGTATTGTAGGACCTTCATGTAGTGGTAAAAATTTCTTTTTTGATTGTGTTATACATAGTTGTATTAATTTTGGACAAATTGGTAATTTCAACAAGTATGATCGATTTCCTTTACAAGATGCTTTACAAAGACGTATATTATTATGGAATGAACCAAATTTTGAACCAGGTTCTGAAGAGATATTAAAACTTCTATTTGGCGGTGACACGTGTGCTGCTAGAATTAAATATGAAGGTGATGCTTGTATTTTGCGAACACCAATAGTTGTCTTAACTAACAGAGATATTATACCAGATACTGATGCCTTTAGAAGTAGAGTATGGAAATATACATGGCGTGTTGCGCCATTTTTGAAATACTTGTTGAAAAAACCACATCCAATAGCATTATTCTATGTTTTTTTTAAATATAATATTTTAAGTATGAATAATTTTAAGTTTGAAAATTGGGAAATGGATTTAATAAAACAAAAATAAAGGTTTTACAATAATATTTTTATTATCTTTTATTTCTTCACCATTAGATTCCTTATCTATGTTAGTAATTAACGTATTGTGTTTTCCAGTCTTATCGCTTTCCGATAACAAGGTTAACAATGTATGTACTTGTGGGTTATCTTTTATTTTTATGTTATTTTCCACGAGTACTTGTTTATTATCAAATAAATGACCAACAATCCGTTCTAAATTATCGATACGTGCCTTTGTTTGTAAATATAATTTACGATAAATAGTTCTTTCTTGAACTAGGGCAACGATATCTAATGGATTGTCAACTAATTTAGTAATGACTTTTAAATAGGCAATTAAGAACCAAAGTTTATTTTGATTATCAATTAAATTAACTTCGTCATACAAAACAAAATCAAAAGTATATAATAAATCAGGTCCATATGTATGTCAAAATTTAAATAATTCCCATGCAAGTCTATGTTCAGTTTTATCAACAGGCATTGTTTTCCAATAACAATCTGTAGGTACATTAACAGGAGTCTTTTTTGCATAATATAAACAATCTTCTCTATATTTCATTTTATTTTCAATATTACGATTAAAATTTACAAAATCTTTAAATATATCATAAAACGATTTTCTTGTTTGAATATTAATAGTTGGTACAACTTTTTTCCACTTATCTTTTAATATACAATTTTGAAAAGTAATACTATTAAGTAGAGTGGAAGTCATCGATGTTTTCGTAGCTGTAGAGGTCGATGTCTGGGTCTGATTCGCAAGACCCTCGCATTTCTGGAACATTGTGCTCCCTATTTCCAACCTCAACATTTCTAACTCCGACTGATTTGAATCGTTTTGCCAATTTATGTATTCCTCGATGCTCGCGTTCTGCTCTAGTTTTACCATCGGGGGTTCTGAGTGATCTCCGCGAAACAAGAATCTGATCGGGGCTTGCTCTAAGTCTTCTGTTTGCTCTAGAGACATCTCTGTTTGACTCAACACGACCGGACACAGTAGCAGTAACACCCATAATTTGAGCACCATATCCTTGAAATCCTTTTTGTTTATTAATAAACATTTTAACATCTTCAGGCCAATCATAAGGATCTCCACTAGTACACATAGATTCCATATCAAATTCAACATCACAATGTGCATAGCTTACCGTATACAAAGAACTATTCAAAAAATTTGTATTTTCAGTAGCTGGATTTAATGCCGGTGTAGCGAGTAAACCTAAATGCACTTGAGGTTGATTACGGAATGACGAATGTTGACCAGAGTGCACATGTACAAACGTATAACCTTCTACAGATTGATAGTATGTATATGATGTACGATTTACATAGTCGTATGATGTTTTGGTGAGTTCTTGGCTAGCTCGTACAATACCTCTCTCACCCTCTGTTGTAGATAATTTTATAATATGAGGCAATTGATGTTTATAAATAACTTCTTTATAATTAACGTCATCAGCAAATCCATCTTTTTTATTATACATTGGAATCACTACTTTTTTAGTTGGTTTTATATAACCATTAGATGGACTGTATTCATAATTTACAATTGCCTCATGCATACATTTATTAGCGAAGCCGGTATGCAAAATCTTATCCATTCTATAATTAATTATTTCTGGCAACCCATCGTAAGCCCCTGATGTTTTATTAAATATGACGCCAGCATACCAATTTAAATGTCTTGGTATCTCGCTCGAACCAGCAGGTTTATACATAGTGTCGAACTGCTCTTCCAATGATTTGTCCTTCACACCGGTAGGCAACATTGGTTCAGTGGCCTCGCTTTTTAATGGGCGATTATCCAAATATATTTTGTTATTCAAACCCACGCACCATTTTATAACGGGAACATATTCGGTAGTTGCGGTGCCAGATAATGTAGTCCCGTGATCAAACGATGTTCTAGTTCCACACAAGTGAATATCACATTTCACTTTTACAATTTTAGAATTAAATGGTAAACTTGTAAACTCTTGAGGCGACAAATACCATGGCACCCAATCTACTGGATAATATGCATATGGTGTTAATTGTCTGCTTAAAATATCACCATTTATCATTGTATGAGCATATCCATAAGTATAATGATACCATTTTTTCGAGAATGACATATGTATGACTTTTAGCTTTGGATTTGATAAAATTTTAGCTAAGCCAGTCGATTGCGATGTAGTAACTCCAGCTCTTCCTGCTGCTCCTGTATTGGATCCCAATCCACTGGTATCCATAGGCTCCGCATTACTACCTCCCGCAGCGACAGATGACGCCGACGGCATCGAAGGCACATTATTTTGTACATCTGCCATATTAATATATTCGTCAATATTATCCAAATGCTCAATAAATAAATCGTCCAAATTAAATTCTTCGGTGTCAAAATCAACAATTCTTGAGGGTCCGGCGGTGTCGGCGTCGTTATTACGTCTGGAATCGGTGGTATCGGATCTATTTTGTTTTTGATATTCTTGATCAAATAATCTTTTAACTTCTCTTCCAGCATTACTTAACCTCCATTGATTATAATTACTGAACTGAGATTTTTCTGCAGCTGATAGTTGTCTCCAAGCCTTAGAATAAGCTTTTTGTAAGGAAGCGTAACGAGCTTGACCTCTATGAAGCGTACGACCGGGAGTCATTGTTGAAAAATAATGGAACTCCGCTTTTATATATGAATTCTATGACGTCATCTATACTTATTATAAAAATAAGTCCCCCGGCCGCGTCTTTCTGTCCTCCTGTCTGTCTGTACGCGATAAACTCGAAAACTACTGAACGGATTTTTATACGGTTTTCAACAATAGAAAGAGTAATTCTTGAGGAAGGTTTAGGTATATAATTTATTATGCTTTTATGTAAATTAGCTGAAATACGGCGACAAATGTTGAAGAGGTCGCAAAAAATCTCGCCAAATGGGAACTTTCCACGCGAACGCCGCGTAAACTAGCAAAGATACAGTTAAGTAATGTACTAGAGAATTCAAAATCTATAAAAATGCTACAAAAAAGTCCGCGATAGCATATCTCTATCTCTTACGGTTGACTTACAATAACCACTTTTATGTTAACATTTTTAATTAAAAACATTACGTTATTTTCAAAGTTATTTTCTTTAGTTCGGTATTAATCCTTATCCAAATGAATATTTTAGTTAGCTTAGTCATTTAATGCAGATTAAAATTGCTCTTTACACTAAATCAATCAGATGAATAGTTTTTGAGATATCGTTGTTAGAAGTAATTAGTAGCGAAACATTTTTAATGCTTGGCGAGCATTGAGATGCCTACGGCGAGTCCATCCCCTCTGCCCCGCATCGCTCGACCGCCTGCTCAAGCTATATAAACCGGGCGATGTAGCGCGCGATCCTAGGATACTTTTTACCGCGGGAAAATATCTTATTTCTGAGGAAAAATACAAAAACTGCAATGTAAGAGTATACTAATATGTAACACCTAAGAATTTAGTTTTTGGTCATCTGAACGCGGGCGGAGCCGCGGGCAATGCTAGTACTTTATAAAATCTAACATGTAAAACACCACCGTAAAGTATTTATATAACTTGAAATTTTTTATCTTAAAAATTTCTCATTAAATCCAACGCATACAACAACAGTAATCGAACAATCGTGCGCCTCCGGCGCACATGATTATGTTCATGATTCATCAATCGGGTAAAACCAATATCGCAGATTCGTTGTCTAGACTCAGTAAAAGTGCAGAAAAATACGTAATGCAATTGAAAGACAACCATATTTGCCAAATTGTGGATTATGCCCGACCTCGGGCAGTTTCCCTCAAGGAAATAATAGATAACTCAAGGGACGATCAAGAAATTTTAAAGGTGAAAGAAGGCTTGTATCACAACATATGGAACGACGACGTGAAACTATACAAACTCTTTCAAAGTGAGCTATGTTTCCATGAGGGTATATTATTGAGAGGAACGAGAATTGTGATTCCCTTGGCACTCCGTAAAAGTTTTAGATTCAGCTCACGAGGGGCACCCCGGCATCGTGTCGATGAAAGCAAGGCTTCGAACAAAAGTTTGGTGGCCTAGATGTGACAAGGATGCCGAAAATATCGTGAAAGCGTGTAAAGGATGCACCCTCGTATCTGCACCATATGCACCAAACCCTATGAAACGACGTGAGCTGCCAGACG